TGCTCTGACTCCCCATCTCCTCTCTGGATCGACTCTCCCCTCCTCCTCTCATCCTGTCTCCAATCTCCATCTGACAGCTTCGCCTCTTCAGCTGCTTCTCCAAGGTGCTCTCCTCGTGCCAGCTCCTCCGTGAGTCCCCGTGGTCGCCGTTCCTCTGCCGCCCGCGTCGCCTCACCTCCTCCAACCCCTGGCTCACGCTGTACGCCGCCACGCTGCCGCCCCCCAGAATGTTGGCCCCGCCTCCTAAAATGGCGGAGGTGGAGTAGAAGCGGTGTGACTCGGAGAGGTACCACCCCCCCGACGACACGGCGACGGGACCCAATAGGATGTCAGAGTGCCAGCCCTTCAAGGCGGAGCCTAGGTTAGGGGCGGGCTTGGACAGGTGCTGCTGGGAACGTGATAGGCCGAACAGGAAGCCAGTGTGGTTAGGGCTCTCCTCCATACTGCCACTACGGTGGAGCTGCTGGGAACAGGAGAGGGGAGGTGGAGGAGGCTTAGCCTGGCTGGGCTGGTTGGAGGTGGTAGTACCGGTAGTGGTGGAGGAGGTGGAGGAGGAGGAGGAGGAGGAGGAGGAGGAGGAGGTGGAGGAGGAGGAGGTGGAGGTGGAGGAGGAGGAGGAGGAGGTGGAGGAGGAGGAGCAGGAGGAGGAGGAGGTGATGGTTGTGGTGGAGACTACAGGAGGAGCAGAGGTAGCAGCAGGGTCTGTGGGGCCTGTCGGCCAGCTCCTTGTCAGGGCTCTGTTCTGGTGTCGACTGCTCCGACACCTCCTCCACAGGAGAGAACTGACACGGTTTACTAGCAGGCTCCTTGAAGCCCCACGGAGGTTTAAAAATCTTGGTCTCCGGGGTGGGGTAAGGGGGTGGTGGGGGTAAGGCCTCATGGGGGCGCTGCTGCAGCCTCCTGGCTCCCCGTACGACTTGATGTCCAGAGAGAAGGACCTTTTCAGCCGGGCGGCGCCGTCTTCCGTCCCCTGGTCCAGCTGGAGGCCTTGGAGCCCGTGCAGAGCCTGGACCAGGAGCCTCTCCTCTGGGGGCCAGGGGGCCAGGACACACGGCAGGGTCAGGGGCTCCAGCTGTGCCAGGGCAGGTTGGGGGGAGGGGGGAGGGGTAGGGCTCCACAGTGAAAGTGTCACGTTACTAGGAGGACCTGAGCCCCCACAGTGATGTGTTCATCAGGAGACAGGCCCTCCAGTGAACTGGGTTCCTCAGGGACGAGCCCCTCACATGCCTGTTCCTCCGTAGACTGAGCCCCACAAAGTGCACTGTTTCAGTCAGGGGACGACGCCCCCTCCAGCTGGACTGTGTCATTCAGAGGGACAGAGCCCTCACGTGCCTCTGGTCATTCAGGGGACAGACACCCAGTCACGGCACTGTGTCCATTCAGGGTAGGGCAGAGTAGGCCTCTCCAGTGCATGTGGTCTTAGGAGGAAGGTTACCCTCACAGTGCCCCGTTTCCGATTCAGGAGGACATGACCCCTCAACAGTGCCACGTGTCCTCAGGAGTGAAGTAGCACTAAGTGGCACTGTGTTCATTCACGATGGAGGAACAGAGACCAGCTCAGATGACTGACCACTGGTGTTCATCAGAGGGAAGAGCCTACAGTCACGTGTTCATTCAGGAGGACAGAGCCCCTCACAGTGCACTGTGTTCATTCAGGAGGACAGAGCCCCTCACAGTGCACTGTGTTCATTCAGGAGGACAGAACCCCTCACAGTGCACTGTGTTCATTCAGGAGGACAGAGCCCCTCACAGTGCACTGTGTTCATTCAGGAGGACAGAGCCCCTCACAGTGCACTGTGTTCATTCAGGAGGACAGAGCCCCTCACAGTGCACTGTGTTCATTCGGAGGAGACAGAGCCCCTCACAGTGCACTGTGTTCATTCAGGAGGACAGAGCCCCTCACAGTGCACTGTGTTCATTCAGGAGGACAGAGCCCTCACAGTGCACTGTGTTCATTCAGGAGACAGAGCCCCTCACAGTGCACTGTGTTCATTCAGGAGGACAGAGCCCCTCACAGTGCACGTGTTCATTCAGGAGGACAGAGCCCCTCACAGTGCACTGTGTTCATTCAGGAGGACAGAGCCCCTCACAGTGCACTGTGTTCATTCAGGAGGACAGAGCCCCTCACAGTGCACTGTGTTCATTCAGGAGGACAGAGCCCCTCACAGTGCACTGTGTTCATTCAGGAGGACAGAGCCCCTCACAGTGCACTGTGTTCATTCAGGAGGACAGAGCCCCTCACAGTGCACTGTGTTCATTCAGGAGGACAGAGTTCTCACAGTGCACTGTGTTCATTCAGGAGGACAGAGCCCCTCACAGTGCACTGTGTTCATTCAGGAGGACAGAGCCCCTCACAGTGCACTGTGTTCATTCAGGAGGACAGAGCCCCTCACAGTGCACTGTGTTTATTCAGGAGGACAAGCTGAGCATTTCATGGGGTCATGTGACACACAGGGTTGTTTAATCAGGGGTCATGTGAGGCCGGGGTTCATTAAGACAGACAGGAAGACTGGGCATCAGGACCTATAGAGGGGGGTATCCTCTTAGTTACGGAGAAACTGGAGGGGGTGGTTGCTTAGTGGTCAAGTCCATAAACAGGAAGATGACTTGTGCATGCAGTGGGGTACATAACAGAAGGTTTGCCTTATTGTAGTCCTACTGGGTTGATTCATCTCACCTGTAAGTCCTTATTGTAGTCCTACTGGGTTGATTCATGCTCACCTGTAAGTCCTTTATTGTAAGTTCCCCTACTGGGTTATTATCATCTGCAACCTGTAAGTTCCTTATGTAGTCCTACTGGGTTTGATTCATCTCACCTGTAAGTCCTTAGGTTGGTAGTCCTACTTGAGTTTAATTCATCCTCACCTGTAACGTCCGATTAGTGAGTCCTACTGGGTTGATTCATCTCACGTTCCTTATGTAGTCCTACTGGGTTGATTCTCTCACCTGTAGTCCGTATTAGTCCTACTGGGTTCGATTCACCATCTCACCTGTAAGTCCTTATTGTAGTCCTACAGGGTTGATTCATCTCACCTGTAAGTCCTTAGTTGTAGTTCCTACACTGGGGTTGATTCATCTCACCTGTAAGTCCTTATTGTAGTCCTACTGGGTTGATTCATCTCACCTGTAAGTCCTTATTGTAGTCCTACTGGGTTGATTCATCTCACCTGTAAGTCCTTATTGTAGTCCTACTGGGTTGATTCATCTCACCTGTAAGTCCTTATTGTAGTCCTACTGGGTTGATTCATCTCACCTGTAAGTCCTTATTGTAGGTCCTACTGGGTTTGATTCATCTCACCTGTAAGTCCTTATTGTAGTCCTACTGGGTTTATTCATCTCACCTGTAAGTCCTTATTGTAGTCCTACTGGGTTGATTCATCTCACCTGTAAGTCCTTATTGTAGTCCTACTGGGTTGATTCATCTCACCTGTAAGTCCTTATTGTAGTCCTACTGGGTTGATTCATCTCACCTGTAAGTCCTTATTGTAGTCCTACTAGGTTTATTCATCTCACCTGTAAGTCCTTATTGTAGTCCTACTAGGTTTATTCATCTCACCTGTAAGTCCTTATTGTAGTCCTACTGGGTTTATTCATCGTACCACGTAAGTCCTTATTGTAGTCCTACTGGGTTTATTCATCTCACCTGTAAGTCTTTGTTCCTATGGTGATCATCTCCCTTAGTCATTATTGTAAGCGACAGCGGTGATTATGCATGAAGTCCTGGAGTATCCACAGGTATCATGGACCAGCACAGGAGTTGGACTGTTGGTTTATCTCTATGAATCCACGATCGTCCAACCGGGTTGGGATCTCTCACTGAAGTCTTATTGACATGGAATCTCCGTAAGTGGACTCATGATTAGTCCTGTGGGACATTTACTGGCATTCAGACTGTACGTCCTATTATCCTCTGGTTGTCATCATACCTGTAAGGCTTAGAGGATACAGCTGGTTAGAATGCTATTACATATACTAATATATAAACTAGTTATTCATAATCACCTATACCTTGTTGAGTCACGGTCTTTCATCCACCAGGTAGAGTGGCTATGTGTTGGCCTAGGGTTTATGGGCAGCAGCTGAAAGTTTAGAGCCATGGAGTGATACCACCGTAAGCTATTGTAGTCCTACGGGCTTATTCCTCACAAGTACCATGGAAGCTCTGGGAAAAATCCTTATGAGCCACTGGTTATCACCACCTGAAGCACTTATTGTAGTCTAACTGGGTTGATTCATGTCACTGTAAGTCCTATGTAGTCCTTAGGTTGATTCATCTCACTGTAAGTCCTTATTGTAGTCCTACAGGGTTGATTCATCTCACCTGTAAGTCCTTATTGTAGTCCTACTGGGTTTATTCATCTCACCTGTATGTCCTTATTGTAGTCCTACTGGGTTGATTCATCTCACCTGTAAGTCCTTATTGTAGTCCTACTGGGTTGATTCATCTCACCTGTAAGTCCTTATTGTAGTCCTACTGGGTTTATTCATCTCACCTGTATGTCCTTATTGTAGTCCTACTGGGTTGATTCATCTCACCTGTAAGTCCTTATTGTAGTCCTACAGGGTTTATTCATCTCACCTGTAAGTCCTTATTGTAGTCCTACAGGGTTTATTCATCTCACCTGTAAGCTTCGTCTAGTGAGTCCATCTCTTATGATGTAAGACATCGATGGTTTGTTAGCTACTGTATGCATATCCAACTAGGGGTCATCTCAGAGTCACAGGAGTTTGGAGCATTTGAGCTTCTTATTGAGATCCACATGTATACTAAGTCCATACCAGGGTACTGGGATCATCTCACGAAGCTGTATTAGAGACACTGAGGTAGTGAGATCTACGGTAAGTGTACTGTTTGAGGACAAGGTTACTGCATTCAGAAGTACCTATAGTTACTGTTGATCATATCCTGTAGAGGTTGGCTGTATTAGAGAATACAGGTGTTTAGAATGCTAGTTACATATATATCAATATATAAACCTAGGTTACTGTATTAAATCTACCTCAATCCCTGTTGAGTCTCTACGGTCTGTACATGACCAGGTACGATAGAGTGGCTCAGGGTTATGCGTGTTTGGAACAGAGGTTCTGATGGGCAGCAGGGTTACTGAGAGAGGCAGGAGAGGAACCAGCAGATGTAGATCATAAAGAGTCTTAACAAATCAACAAGTACTGTAGAAACTATCTTGTGGACAACAGAGGTTCTGATTGAAATCACCTGAGAGGACAGCAGACACACTGAAAAGTCTGAATCAATAAAGGAATAAACACTGAGGTACTGTATTAGAGATCACACTAGAGGTTACTGTATTAGAGATCATACTAGAGGTTACTGTATTAGAGATCATACTAGAGGTTACTGTATTAGAGATCATACTAGAGGTTACTGTATTAGAGATCATACTAGAGGTTACTGTATTAGAGATCACACTAGAGGTTACTGTATTAGAGATCATACTAGAGGTTACTGTATTAGAGATCATACTAGAGGTTACTGTATTAGAGATCATACTAGAGGTTACTGTATTAGAGATCATACTAGAGGTTACTGTATTAGAGATCATACTAGAGGTTACTGTATTAGAGATCATACTAGAGGTTACTGTATTAGAGATCATACTAGAGGTTACTGTATTAGAGATCATACTAGAGGTTACTGTATTAGAGATCATACTAGAGGTTACTGTATTAGAGATCATACTAGAGGTTACTGTATTAGAGATCATACTAGAGGTTACTGTATTAGAGATCATACTAGAGGTTACTGTATTAGAGATCATACTAGAGGTTACTGTATTAGAGATCATACTAGAGATTACTGTATTAGAGATCATACTAGAGGTTACTGTATTAGAGATCATACTAGAGGTTACTGTATTAGAGATCACACTAGAGGTTACTGTATTAGAGATCATACTAGAGGTTACTGTATTAGAGATCATACTAGAGGTTACTGTATTAGAGATCAACTAGAGGTTACTGTATTAGAGATCATACTAGAGGTTACTGTATTGAGATCAACTAGAGTTACTGTATAGAGATCAACTAGAGGTTACTGTATTAGAGATCATACTAGAGGTTACTGTATTAGAGATCATACTAGAGGTTACTGTATTAGAGATCATACTAGAGTACTGTATAGAGATCAATAGAGTTACTGTATTAGAGATCATACTAGAGGTTACTGTATTAGAGATCATACTAGAGGTTACTGTATTAGAGATCAACTAGAGGTTACTGTATTGGAAGATTCATACTAGAGGTCACTTGTATTAGAGATCACACTAGAGGTTACTGTATTAGAGATCATACTAGAGGTTACTGTATTAGAGATCATACTAGAGGTTACTGTATTAGAGATCATACTAGAGGTTACTGTATTAGAGATCACACTAGAGGTTACTGTATTAGAGATCACACTAGAGGTTACTGTATTAGAGATCATACTAGAGGTTACTGTATTAGAGATCATACTAGAGGTTACTGTATTAGAGATCACACTAGAGGTTACTGTATTAGAGATCACACTAGAGGTTACTGTATTAGAGATCATACTAGAGATTACTGTATTAGAGATCATACTAGAGGTTACTGTATTATAGATCATACTGGAGGTTACTGTATTAGAGATCATACTAGAGGTTACTGTATTAGAGATCATACTAGAGGTTACTGTATTAGAGATCATACTAGAGGTTACTGTATTAGAGATCACACTAGAGGTTACTGTATTAGAGATCATACTAGAGGTTACTGTATTAGAGATCATACTAGAGGTTACTGTATTAGAGATCATACTAGAGGTTACTGTATTAGAGATCACATTAGAGGTTACTGTATTAGAGATCACACTAGAGGTTACTGTATTAGAGATCACACTAGAGGTTACTGTATTAGAGATCACACTAGAGGTTACTGTATTAGAGATCATACTAGAGGTTACTGTTTTAGAGACAGTTGGTGTGAATGTTAAATGCATCAAAATCATAATCTGTATTTTTTCGGAATTCGGACGAAAAGACCGCAACATAGTTGTTGAATAAAAGGCCTTTAGTAACAAACTATTTTCTAAGACAGAAGACTTGCACCATCATAAGGCAATACAAGCAGGCTCTGATATTGGCCAATAAACCTGCCTAGCAACAGCAGCCAAACTGAATGGTTGGGTGTTCTACATTATTATCTAGTAGTGTTCATAGAGGACCAACCTGCTGAGTTCATTACACAATACTAATACACTGCCTTCTGTACCCACCGGCACACACACACACACACACACACACACACACACACACACACACACACACACACACACACACACACACACACACACACACTCCAGCCACCTGCACCGGCCGACCCTCAGACAAGCTCAGTCCTAGTTGCTTGGCAACCCGTGTACCCGTGGCTCTCCAGCCTCTCCAGATGTGTCCGTCCATGGCTGCGTCCCAAATGGCAGCCCATTCCCTGCAATGACAGCCCCATGCCTTATAGGGAATGGAGTGCCCCAGGCTATATGGGAATAGGGTGTCATTAGGACTCAAAGGACCAAGGAGGACTTCTAGAATGTTCTTAACTCAAGAAAGATACAGCATTATACAACAACAGATGCATCTTCCTCATACTCTCTCATCTATCACTCACTCGTCACCCTGTCTCATCTCCTCTCCACTTCCTCTCTCTAACCCTCCTCCTCTCTCTCTGAACTCTTCCTCACTCTCCCACGTCTCATCTCTCACGCCTCCTACTCCTCCTCCTCGCGATCTCCCCCACCCTCCTCCCCTCCCTCCCCTTCCCCCCCGTCGCTCTCTCCTCCTCTCCTCCTCCTCCTCTCCTCCTCCCTCCCTCTCCTCCTCCTCTCTTCCTCTCTCTCTCCTCCTCCTCTCCTCCTGATTCCTCCCTCCTCCTCCTCCCTCTCCCCACCGCTCCTCTCCCATCTCCTCCTCCTCTCCTCTCCTCCTCTCCCTCCTCCTCTCTCATCTCCTCCCGCTCTCCTCCTCTCATCTCCTCCTCTCCCTCACTCTCCTCCTCTCTCCTCCTGATCTCCTCCTCTCTCCTCCTGATCTCCTCATTCTCTACTCCTCTCTCTCTCTCTCTCCTCTCTCCCCATCTCCCACCGCTCCCCTCTCTCTCCTCCCTCCGATCTCCTCCTCTCTCCTCCTCTCCATCCTCTCTCCTCCTCTCTCTATCTCCTCCTCTCTCCTCCTATTCCGTCTCCCTCCTCTCCCCACCGCTCTCCTCCTCTCTCCTCCATCTCCTCCTCATCTCTTCTCGCCTTCTCTCTCCTCCTCTCCCCTCTCCCACCGCCCCCATCCTCCTCACCTCTCCTCCCCCTCTCCTCCTCTCTCTTCCGCTCCTCCTCCTCCTCTCTCTCCCTCCTCCTCATCCGCTCCTCCTCCTCTCCCCTCATCTCCCCCGCTCTCCTCCTCCTCTCTCTCCCTCCTCCTCTCTCCTCCTCTCCGTCCTCTCTCCTCCTCCTCCTCCTCTCCTCCTCCTCCTCCCTCCTCCTCTCTCCTCCTCTCTCTCTCTCTCCTAACTCACATTACAACAATACTGATGGAACACATCTGATTGATAACATACAGGATGGACGTACAGCTGTGTATTGTACCCAGGGTTAGGAACCTTCCTCTGTGGGAAATTAACAGAAACTCTACTGGATGTGGAAGCTTAGTGGTTTGAGTGACACAGTGGAAGTTTGATCAGTCTCATATCAACACAGTCACTTCCCCATATGAACCGTCAAGCTGCTGGACAATGTCCACACTGCGCTGTATGAACCGTCAAGCTGCTGGACAATGTCCACACTGCACTGTATGAACCGTCAAGCTGCTGGACAATGTCCACACTGCACTGTATGAACCGTCAAGCTGCTGGACAATGTCCACACTGCGCTGTATGAACCGTCAAGCTGCTGGACAATGTCCACACTGCACTGTATGAACCGTCAAGCTGCTGGACAATGTCCACACTGCACTGTATGAACCGTCAAGCTGCTGGACAATGTCCACACTGCACTGTATGAACCGTCAAGCTGCTGGACAATGTCCACACTGCGCTGTATGAACCGTCAAGCTGCTGGACAATGTCCACACTGCACTGTATGAACCGTCAAGCTGCTGGACAATGTCCACACTGCGCTGTATGAACCGTCAAGCTGCTGGACAATGTCCACACTGCACTGTATGAACCGTCAAGCTGCTGGACAATGTCCACACTGCGCTGTATGAACCGTCAAGCTGCTGGACAATGTCCACACTGTATGAACCGTCAAGCTGCTGGACAATGTCCACACTGCACTGTATGAACCGTCAAGCTGCTGGACAATGTCCACACTGCACTGTATGAACCGTCAAGCTGTATGAACCGTCAAGCTGCTGGACAATGTCCACACTGCACTGTATGAACCGTCAAGCTGCTGGACAATGTCCACACTGCACTGTATGAACCGTCAAGCTGTATGAACCGTCAAGCTGCTGGACAATGTCCACACTGCACTGTATGAACCGTCAAGCTGTATGAACCGTCAAGCTGCTGGACAATGTCCACACTGCACTGTAGTTAGATTCAGTGCCATTTGACTGTATTGTTTGTCAGGTCAGAGAGCCAACAGCAGAAGAATCCACTTCCTCTCCAGGGAGAGTTATAATGTCTGATGTGATGTCATAACCTGATGTCTGATAAAGTCTAATGTTACAAGTGCTCTTAATTTGAAGGGAAGTTCCATCCTGATGACATCATCATAGAAACAGGAACCGTATCAGAAACTAAAACTGCCTCCTAACTGACGTTTGAGACAATGAGACTGGAACCACAGAAAGAGGATCTCTTTTACTTTAGGTTTAGTTTACTAAAGGTCATCTGGGACTCTCTTTGGGTCTGACAGCAGTCCAGAATAAAGCTGAGAGCCTTGGACAACTTATCTGGTGTATACACGTTCATTTAACCCATTCACGTCCTCATTTAAACCATCTAGTAGCTGAATGACTGAAGGGGTTTGGCAGTCATTTTCAGTTAGCTGTCCTACCACCAGCAGCTAGCTATCAGTGACCTCACTGTTGAACCCTGTGTGGAGAAGGTTGATGAAGAGGAGCGGTAAATGAGTGAATGACTAAGTGTCAGAGACATTGTGAAAGGATGGAAAAAGGTATGTCACCAGCCTGGTTCTGCTAGCTGATGAGAGAGGAGGGATGGAGGGAGGGGAGAGAGAGGCGTAGGGGAGGCGGGGAGGGAGAGGCGGTGAGGGAGGGAGGGAGGGGGCGAGAGGGGGAGATGAGGGAGGGAGGGGAGAGAGAGAGTAGGGGAGGGGGGGGAGGGGAGGGAGGGAGAGTGGGTTTAGGGGTGGTGGGGAGGAGGGGAGGGGGGAGTTGGGAGGAGGTGTTTAGGGGTGAGAGGGGAGTTGGAGGAGAGAGCGGTGTGAGTAGAGAGAGGAGAGGAGGAGGGAGGGGGAGAGTTAGAGGGGTGGTGTCGGATGGGAGGGAGTGCGGTCAGAGTTGACTGGAGGTGGGCGGCTGGGAGGTGAGAGTTGCTGAGTCGTGAGGGGAGGGAGGTGGCGGAGGGAGGGCAGGGGAGAGAGACGGTGGGGGAGGGAGGGAGAAGGAGAGAGCGGTGAGGATGGAGGGGGAGAGGAGGGAGTGAGGGAGGAGGGAGGGAGGGAGGTCAGGAGTTGAGGAGAGGGAGGAGGGAGATTGGCCGCCATTTCGCTGGCGCCTCCACTCTGGCCAGTGTAGGTGAATGAGTAAGTGTGAGTGATGCTGTGAAAGGATGAAGGAAAGCAGCTGAATGTTCAGTATGTCATCAGCCTAGTTCTAACAGGGAGAGGGAGAGGGAGGGAGGAGGGGAGAGAGAGAGGGGAGAGAGAGAGAGAGAGAGGGGGAGAGAGACAGAGAGAGAGAGAGAGAGGTGGGGAGGAGAGAGAGGGAGAGAGGAGAGGAGAGGAGAGAGAGGAGGAGAGGGAGGGAGGGGAGAGAGGTGGGGAGGGAGGGAGGGAAAGAGAGGGAGGGGAGAGAGAGAGAGGTGGGGAGGGAGGGAGGGAAAGAGAGGGAGGGGAGAGAGAGAGAGGTGAGGAGAATGAGGGGCTGAGTGTGTGTGTCTAACCTGAGAGCAGGTGTACGGACGGGAAGCTCCTCTCCAGCTTGGCCAACAGGACGGTGAGGAAGGCCTCCGAGGGAAGGGTCAAGGGGTCAGATGAACTCTGGTCGTACACCACCACCTCCTGACTGCCCACTAGCTCCAACTAGGAGAAGAAGAGAGAGGAAGAGGAGTTAACAGAAACACTCAGAGAGAGGAAGAGGAGTTAACAGAAACATTCAGAGAGAGAGGAAGAGTTAACAGAAACACTCAGAGAGAGAGGAAGAGTTACCAGAAACACTCAGAGAGAGAGGAAGAGTTACCAGAAACACTCAGAGAGAGAGAGAGGAAGAGGAGTTAACAGAAACACTCAGAGAGAGAGGAAGAGGAGTTAAGAGAAACACTCAGAGAGAGAGAGGAAGAGTTACCAGAAACACTCAGAGAGAGAGAGGAAGAGTTAACAGAAACACTCAGAGAGAGAGAAGATGAGTTAACAGAAACATTCAGAGAGAGAGAGGAAGAGTTACCAGAAACACTCAGAGAGAGAGAGAGGAAGAGTTACCAGAAACATCCAGAGAGAGAGAGGAAGAGTTACCAGAAACATCCAGAGAGAGAGAGGAAGAGGAGTTACCAGAAACATCCAGAGAGAGAGAGGAAGAGGAGTTACCAGAAACATTCAGAGAGAGAGGAAGAGTTAAAATACTTAAGTAAAAATACTTTAAAGTACTACTTTAAAGTACTACTTCAGTAGTTTTTGGGGTATCTGCACTTTACTTTACTATTTATATTTTTGACAACTTTTACTTCACTACATTCCTAAAGAAAATATTGTACTTTTTACTCCATACATTTTCCCTGACAACCAAAAGTACTCGTTACATTTTGAATGCTTAGCAGGACAGGAAAATGGTCCAATTCACACACTTATCAAGAGAACATCCCTGGTCATCCCTACTGCCTCTGATCTGGTGGACTCACTAAACACACATGCATCTTTGGTAAATAATGTCTGAGTGTTGGAGCGTGCCCCTGGATATCCAAACATTTTAAAAAACAAGAACATGGTGCCGTCTGCTTTGCTAAATAATAGGATTTTTAAATGATTTATACTTTTACTTTTGATACTTAAGTATTTTTTTAGCAATTACATTTACTTTTGATACTTAAGTATATTTAAAACCAAATACTTTTAGACTTTTACTCAAGTAGTATTTTACTGGCTGACTTTCACTTGAGTAACTTTCTAGTAAGGTATCTTTACTTTTACTCAAGTAGGACAATTAGGTACTTTTTCCACCACAGCTTTAGGGTTAGAGGTTAGAGAGTGGAGGTGGCTTTAGGGTCAGAGGTTAGAGAGTGGAGGTGGCTTTAGGGTCAGAGGTTAGAGGTTAGAGAGTGGAGGTGGCTTTAGGGTCAGAGGTTATAGAGTGGAGGTGGCTTTAGGGTTAGAGGTTAGAGAGTGGAGGTGGCTTTAGGGTCAGAGGTTAGAGAGTGGAGGTGGCTTTAGGGTCAGAGGTTTAGAGGTGGAGGGGCTTTAGGGTCAGAGGGTTTAGAGAGTGGAGGTGGCTTTAGGGTTAGAGGTTAGTAGAGAGTGGAGTGGCTTTAGGGTCAGAGGTTAGAGAGTGGAGGTGGCTTTAGGGTCAGAGGTTTTATAGAGTGGAGGTGGCTTTAGGGTTAGAGGTTAGAGAAGTGGAGGTGGCTTTAGGGTTAGAGGTTAGAGAGTGGAGGTGGCTTTAGGGTCCAGAGGTTAGAGAGTGAGGTGGCTTTAGGGTTAGAGGTTAGAGAGTGGAGGGTGGCTTTAGGGTTTAGAGGTTAGAGGAGTGGAGGTGGCTTTAGGGTTAGAGGTTAGAGAGTGGAGGTGGCTTTAGGGTTAGAGGTTATAGAGTGGAGGTGGCTTTAGGGTAGAGGTTAAGAGTGGAGGTGGCTTTTAGGGT